ATTACGTTTTGTGTTATTTGGATCCCATGTATAATTAATTCTCCCTTCCAATGCATTTCTTCTTAGATTTAGTTGTCGGAAGAGAGTGTGATTTTACTTTGAATCACGAATGAATCAGAAACTCTTTATACGCTCTGTGAATTTTACAATTTGGCAATGTTCATTATTTCTATTGTTCAATCAAACAAGAAGCGGGACTAGGCCCGTGACGTCACGAGCCTATAAAATCCTATTTTCAATAATTAATTACGGTAAAACAACGCTATTTAGAGAGCTGAAACAAAGTACACTATTTTCAATTTGAAATTACTACAAAATGAACTGTAAACCAAAAATCATGAAACAAACCCATTCAGAAAATAAGGTGAAAGTTCAAATTTTGCGGCTGCGCACAATCAATTAGCTTTTTTAAAAATTCTCAATGTTGGTACACTCGTCTCGAACATATGTTCACATTTTCAGCTGTTTAGCATGTTTAATTTGTTGGTGAGAGGACTGAAAGTTAGAATGGTTTTGTGTGTTCGAAATTTTTGTGAAAAATGAAATTAGGTGCTCAAAAACACTTGAAATATTGACACTGGCATATGGTGATTGTACTAGAAAAATGTTAAAGTGGTACAAGCTTTTAAGAAGATGTCAAGAAAATGTGAACGCCTGAGCACACCAACAACCAATGAAAATGTTGGGAATGTGAAGAATATTGCTATGAGAAATCGTCGAATCACTATTAGAAAAGTTGCTGAGGATGTCGACATATCGGTTGGCTCATGCCATGCAACTTTATCGTAAATTTTGGGCATGAAGCATGTGGCAGCGAAATTTGTTCCAAAATTGCTGAATTTAGACAAAAAAAAAAAGTTTGATGAGCATCACGCAGGAATTGTTGAATGATGTCAACGGCGATCCAGATTTGCTCAATAGTGTTGTAACTGAAATGTGTAACCTATTTAAGAAGCAACCTTGCATCTTTTGAAGTGAATGTGGCTACTCATAACTATTGTACACGTCATGGTGATATGTTGAGAATACCCTCTCACAAAACAACCAAATTTAAAAATTCTCCACTATATAACTCGATCACACTGTACAATAAACTACCAAATGCTATTAAGGAGTCTAAATCGTATGAAATATTTAAGAATAANTCGAGAATAGCATTTCGTTCAACTTCACTATTGAAAGCTGCTTCTATTGATGCAAGGGCGGCCTCAATTATTCGTCTCGATCTTTCCAAATCATCGTTTTTCTGTTCTAAATCTCTAATGCATTTGGCCATCTCAACTTTTTCCTTTCTTAAATTTGTAATCTCAGTCTCAAGGTTGCAATTATCCTTATTGATTTGTTCGACTTTGATCTAAAATCAGCAACAACGATATATTTATATTTCATAGCAATAAAGTAGAAACTTACCCTCAAAGAGTCTATTTCGTTCTGAGCTCTGTTATTGACCAGTGTCAGTTCTTTGATTTTTTTCTCATTCTGCTCAATAGTGGCTTCATATTCCTTATCTAATTGTTGGGATTCAGTTATGAACTCATCCGATTCTTTTTGTATCCTTTCAGCACTAAAAAAAATTAAAGGGGACTGTTATATTACATTTTTTTATTGATGCAACTAGTTATCCTTTATTTTCAAAGTTTGAATATTAACATTTGTTCACAAAAAGGATTTTCAATAACTTCTAGTTATTATATGTGAGAGCTTTCGATAGCAGACTGTGCTATCATCTTCATGGCTATACTCAAACTGAACGTTTTATCTTCTTGTTTGTTCTTTTATACGGTTAGAACGCCTTAGTGAAGGTATTTGTCCTCTCCTTACATACGAATGTCTCTTTAAATTTGCCAGTACTTTGGTTACATCCTTTGTGTTAGTGTTTCTCTAGGTTCATTGTTTCTAGGAATATGTATTGTTTTATAGAGTATATTGAATGTTAGTTCTTTTTGATCAAATCAAGGCACAACAAGACCTAACATTTATACTCCACAAAACAATACACATTCCTAGAAACAATAAACTCAGAGAAACACCAACACAAAGGATATTATCTGATGTAACCCAAGTACAGGCAATCTTAAAGAGACATCTGGATGAAAGGAGATGACAAATACCTGTATAAAAGAACAAACAAGAAGATAAAATGTTCAGCCTGAGTAGAGTTATGAAGATGATAGCACAGTCTACTATCGTAACACATTCATTGAAATTTTCATTTTATTATTGGGACGGTAGCCTGGTAGATTGACGTGGGTGGTTTGTTCCACTCTCTCAATCGACTGCTGTGTGAACCGGTGGTTCGAACCGCAAGGCCGGACGATCGGTTTTCTGCTATAAATCTTATAATCTTTTTTTGAGTGACAAAAACATCTTCGCATATTATAGACGGGAGTCGATTTGAGCATGATACAGCATATAGATATCTTTGAGACTGAAGAATAAATTTCTACTTGAAAATGTTGAATTGTTAACTTTTATTATAATTTTCAATACTTTTAGTAACGTTAGAAGGTACCAAGAAGGCT